TGGAGTTTTGAGTGCATAGACCACCCACACTCACCATATCTTGCTCCATCTGACTGTTTCCTGTTTCCAGACCTTAAAAGAGTTTGAAAGGATGGAATTTGTCAAATGATTCAGAAATGATAGCAATAGCAACACAGTATTTCAGTGAAAAGACATCAGAATTAGGAGTTTTTTAAGGGTTTAAGAAATTTGAGAAATAAAATGCCTGGTGTGTCAAATATGCCCCATATTCAAGGTGAATATGTGGAGTAACATATATGTTTCATGGCTCTAGGTCATTCCCTCCTTGGTTGAGCTGAGAATTTTTCAGCACCAGATCTATTTCATCTCCCAACATTCAGAAGGCATAATTCCACCATCTCTCTCAACACACACAACAGGAAAGTGAAACCTACTGATTATAATAAATAAATAAATAAATAAACTTTATTTTTGTATCCTGCCTTTTGGCAAGGCAATCAAGGTGGCTCACATAGGGGGGTTGTAGACTGCCAGAAAATTGAGTCCACCTTTAGGGTTAGGGTTAGTGCTAGGGAATCATGGGAATTGGTTTTTTCTGAGACATTGATCCTTCTCTGTCAGAGAGCTCTGGTGCCACAATAAAATACAGTTCCCATGATTCCCTAACCCTAACCCTAACCCTAAAAGTGGACTCAATTTGCACTATTTCTGGCAGTCTGCAACCCCCCATAGTTAACATGGATAAAGCAAGTCCTAGATTGAACATTAATAACATGATAAAAACAAATAACCCCCCTTTAAAAAATTAAATACAATACTAAAAAGTTAAAATGTCTGGTGTTCTGACACCAATAGATATATATAAAAAGAGGGAGAGGCACAGGTTTAAATAGAAAGTCTATTCAGGGAAGGCCTGCTGGAAGAGATCCATCTTGATGGCTTTTTTAAAATTGTTCAAGCTGGTTATTTGATGTATCTGCAGCAAGGCATTCCATAATTTGGGAGCAGCAACAGAGAAGGACCTCTGGGAGGTTTACTGCTAATCTAGAATTTCTCAGTTGCAGTAGTTCCTCCCAGAGGATCTGAGGGTGCGGGGCGGATTATATGGAAGGAGGTGATCCCTTAGATAGGTTGGACCTAGGCCATGTAGGGCTTTAAAGGTAATCACCAATACCTTATACTGTGCTGAGAAACCAATAGGCAGCCAGTGAAGGGATTTCAGAATCAGTGTAATATGATTCCTTCTAGATTTCCTGGTAATCAACCTGGCTGCCATATTTTGTACCAATTGCAATTTCTGAACTAGGTATAAGGATAGCCCCATGCAGAGTGCATTGCAGAAGTTGAGTCATGAGGTTATCAGTGCATGTACTACAGTTTCTAGGTCCCTTATTTCCAGGTAAGGGTGTAGTTGGCATATCTGCCGAACCTGATAACAGGCGCACCTGACCATTGTGTTCACCTGATCAATCATGTGAAGCACTGGGTCTAGGAGCACCCCAAAACTGCAAACACAGTCCATTGAGGAGAGCATGACCCCATTTAGGACTGGGGTCATGCCAATACCTAGTTTGAGGGCCCCTACTGTAAGCACTTCCGTTTTATCTGGATTCAGTATGAGTCGGTTTTTCCTCATCCAGTCCATTACCACCTCAAGACATTGATTGAGGGGAGAAATGCCATCTGTCATCATGGCTGCTGTCTGAGATATGGAGAAATATTTTTGGGTGTCATCAGCGTATTGATAACACCCCACCCCATGTCTATGGATGATTTCCCCCAGCGGCTTCATATAGATATTGAAGAGCATCGAGGACAGGATGGCACCCTGAGGGATGCCACAGTTAAGCTCTGTTTTTGAAGAGTAACTGTCCCCGAGCATCACCCTCTGGAATCTGCCTGACAGGAGTACAGTGCCTCCAATCCCTAGCTCTCCCAGACGTTCCAAGAGGATGCCGTGATCTATCATATTGAAAGCCGTTGACAGATCCTGAAGCACCAACTGGGTCACGCTTCCCCTGTCGATGCTTAGGTGAAGGTCATCTATCAGAGCAACCATGGCACTCTCCACCCCAAATCCCAGTCTGACGCCGGTTTGAAAAGGATCTAGAAAATCAGTTTCATCCAAGATCACTTGGAGTTGGAAGGCAACGGCCTGCTCGATCACCTTGCTGAAAAATGGGAGATGTGAAACAGGTCTATAGTTTTTCAAGTCCAGGGGGTCCAAGGAAGGCTTCTTCAGGAGCCGTCTCACAACCACTTCCTTTAAACAAGCTGGAACAACTCCTTCCCTAAGGGATGCGTTGATGGTCTCTTTGAGGAAGGCCATCAAGGCATCACCCCCCCCGGACCCCCAGCCATGATGGTCAAGGAGCACGTCATCTTATTCACTTTTCCAAGGATCTTGTCCACATAATTGGTACTCACCAGCTCGAACTGATCCCGTTTAATCTCTACTCCATAGAGACCTCATCAGTCGGTTCTGTTATAAATCCAGCCTCCAAGTTGGCTCTTATCTGCAAAGTAGTTGTTAAATGCATCACAGCAGGCTGTTGTTGGGTTAAGTAGAGGGTTCTGCACAGGTGGAACCTGTGTCAGTTCCCCCACCACCCTAAACAGCTCTGCCAGGCGAGACTCTGCAGATGCAACACATGCAGAAAAGAAAGATTTCTTTGCTGCACGTATTGCCTCTTGATAGGAACAAAGATAATTCCTATGACGAGTCTTATCAGATAAGAGTCAAGTTTTTCACCAGGTGCACTCTAGTCATTGTCCAACCCATTTCATCTTCCTAAGTTCCTCTGTGAATCATGGTTGTCTGTTCGAAGTGGGTTGGAAACGACGTGATCATGTTGATAGCCCTGGTGAGATCGGTTTTCCAGGTGTCAACTAGGGCTTCGGCAGAATTGCCGGCATTACCAACCAAGAAATCCTCCAAGGCTTTCTTAAGTCCCATTGGCTTCATTAGCCTCCAAGGGCAAACCATTCAAATAGGTCCTCCTCCCCTGGTGAGGTGGACAGTGGCTCTAAGTCCAACCCTGACCAGGAAGTGATTGTCCATGACAGCGCAGTGGTATTTATTACCTCCGCCCATGGATACTCCTCCGTTCCAAAGACTGCATCAAGAGTATGACCCACACAGTGCATTGGCCCAGAAACCAATTGGGATAGGCCCATGCCTGTCATGGAATCCATGACCTGCTGAGCCGCACCTGTTAGACTGATCTCAAATGGGATGTTGAAGTCACCCAGAACTAAAAGTCTGGGTGACTCCAACAGCAGTTATGAGACCAACTGTGTCAGCTCAGATAGGGAGTCTGTTAGACAAGG